TGATCTACATTGCTCTCAGCACCGATGTCTTCCATACTCCTACTAGTATATGGCCCATTAAACCCCACTTAAAGTGTTCAACTGCTGTCCTACTCCACAGTCCTAAGGTCCACATTCCACCAACAAGCAGTATGGTCAGGACTGTCACAGCAATACCCCACTCCTGGTACCAACTTCTTAGTGCCTGTTCCACTGCTGTGAAGAGATACTATAACCAAGGCAACTATTGTAAGAGAAAGCATTTAATTGGGACTTGCTTACAGTTTCAGAGGTTTAGTTCATTATCATCATGGTAGGCAGCATGACGGCATGTAGACAGACATGGTGCTGGAGCAATAGCTGAGAGCTATCTTCCTAATCCATAAGAAAAGAGTCAGTCTCTGGGCTTGGCATAGGTTTCTGAAACCTCAAAGCCTACCCTCAGTGACATGCTTCCTCCAGAGCCACACTGTCTAATCCTAATCCTTTCAAATAATGCCACTCCCTGGTGATTACGCATTCAAATATATGAGCTTATGTGGACCAAAGAATTCACACCACCACAAGAAGTCTCAGGAGTACTTCAGCATAATCCCAGCAAGCACAGACAGCCAGTGACTGAGCAGATAGAAACATGTGCTATTCCAACTGTAAAACCATGACCTGCAATAGGTACTGTTTAACTTATCTCTGGCTTATGAAGATATATATATATAACTTCACAATACAGTTTCTGTCATTTCTTTCTTTCTTTTCTTTTTTTTTTTTTTCTTTTCATTTTTCAAGATAGCGTTTCTCTGTGTAGCCCAGGCTGTCCTGGAACTCATTCTGTAGACCAGGCTGGCCTTGAACTCAAGAGATCTGCCTGCCTCTGCCTCCTAAGGGCTAGGACTAAATTAAAGGCATGCTCCACTCTTCTGACATTTCTTAGAAAAAAGAACACCGAGCTGGAGAACAAAACAAGGATGGTAAGATACAGAAACTTCTGAGTGTTAAATTCCCTGAAATTCCTCTAGAATGCTCCTACTACTGACTGAACAAAATTCAGAATATCACTCACATAGAAATGCAATGGACCCTCAGCCAAGTGAAAGCCTTCTAAAACTAAAAGCCACCACAGGGCTAGTGTCTAGCACAGTGGTGGAGCATGTAGCCCTGGGTTTGATCTCTGGCACAGAAAAAAAAAAGGGCAGAGAGAAATTATATATTCATGTATTACAAAACAATTCATTACATTACAGACACATTACAAAAGTTCCCACATACATCTCTTTGAACACCTCTTCTCCAGGAGTCTCCAAGTTATCCTCCTTAAGAAATTCCCCTATCAGACTTAAAAGTATCCCATATCTCTCTCATAGCACTTCCATACCTGTATTCACATTGATCTATCCAATCTGTCCCAAGAGAATGTATATTTCAGAGAAAAAATAGTATGTTTTCATTTAGGACTACACATCCAATAATAAATGTGCACTTGCACACACATGTACACACATACACACTACAAGACAAGTGTGCATGTGCACACATGCACATTTTTTTCAAAAAGAAAAGTAAGAAATATATTTCTAGACTAGAGATATAGCTGAGCATTTGTATAAGGCAATGGGTTCAATCACTGACTAAGCACCACAAAAAGTAAGTAAATAATTTAATTAAATTAACGTGTGTTTCTGAGAGGAAGGGGAAAAACCTAACTTTTTAAAACCTAAGTACAGATATGCTTCAGCCATATTAAAATCCTCACTAGGAATACTTACATTATCAGAAGATATTCCTATTTCAAAATAATTCCCTCTAATTTATTTAGGGATACATAAATTTCTAGACTAAAATTAATTAAAGAAACATCAAAGAGACGAGATTGGGAAGTATTTCTGTTAATACTGTATCCTAAATCAACAGGAAAATAGAAATCATGTACATAGACCTGCTTCAGAAGATATCGGGGATCACTTTAAGCCTTTACTGATTGTCTTATCTATGAGCCACCACTCAACATTTAAGGAATTACCAGGACTATGAGCAAGGTTATTCAGTTTGTTCATTACATAAGGCTGAAGGAGAAAATGAAGGTGCCCTTTTCTGTGTCATTTGCAGAGATACTATGAAAGTTAATAGTGCAGGTGATCCAGAATCTCCTTTCAGAATAATTTAGCATAAATGACACCAGTTTATATGTAAACTATATGTTTTATGTGTAATTATAAGATACATGTGAGGTATCAAGAAACAAAGAGGGACCAAGAAAGAGTATCTAACCAAACACACAGCACTCTCCAGTGTGCCCTTACTACAGATGAGGGGTTACACCTCAATCCAGTGTGCCCTTACTACAGATGAGGGGTTACACCTCAATCCAGTGTGCCCTTACTACAGATGAGGGGCTGCATCCCAAGACAGTAAAACTCCAGAAATAATATCCCTGATCCCAATTCTTGAAAAGTGTATTTCTTCCTAAACTAACTATCTTTTGTTCTCTAATTTTACAAATGCACTTTTTTGCCTGTTACATTCTACTCAAGAACCAACCACTAAATTCCATCTCTTATCTCAGATTTCTGCTTTGGCTATCATCCCAAGGAAGATAATTAAAAATGAAATTAATATTTAAAAATAAGTAAGTTAAATCATTCACTTCATAATTACTACTTACTAGCTACAAAGTTTATCAAACTAAAGAATAAAACATTAATTAATTCAATATTTATTGAGGCATTATTAGGGGCTGGGAACATAAAAGTGAAGGGGGTATCCTTTAATCCCAGCACTCAGGAGGCAGAGGCAGGCAAATCTCTGAGTTCATGGCCAACCTGGTCTACAGAGCAAGTTCCAGGACAGTCAGGGATACAGAGAGAACTCTCAGGGGACAGGAGGAAGATTAAAAAAAAATCCTTGTCTTCTTGTGACTTACATTCCAGTGGTGGGAAGGACACAAAATGTAGTTAGTAACATGTCTGCTAGGCAACACCTGGCAGAATATGGTGCAAGGCTTATATTCCCAGCAGGACTGCCCAGAAATTCAAAGTTGGTCAAATCTACATAGCAAGTTCCAGGCCAGCCAGGGATACATAACAAAACAAGACCCTGTATCAAAAATCCAAAACTGCTATGAAGGGGGGGGGGGGATCAGATTGTGGGGGAGGTGAGACAGAGATGGGTTAATGGGAAGTGTGAAAAGAGATACTGTTTCCAGTAAGATGACTGGGCTGGGCCTCATTGAGAAGGACCAAATGAACCAAAACTGTAAGGAAACAAGGGGAAAATATTATAAGGCAATGCAAAGATCCTAAGGGGAAGGGGGCGCACTCAAGGAACGCAGTATAACCTGGGAATAAAGTGAACAGGAAAGAAGGTCGGATTGGGGTCAAAGAGGGAAGAAAGGCAGACCAGCCATTGTGGCAATAAGAGATTCAGTTTCTACTGTGGATCAAATACGGACTGATTTAGAGAGCTGAGGAGGCACAATAGCTGATTTATATTACTGAGAATTATTCTAGTGCCCGGCATAGTGGACCACACTTTTGATCCCAGCACTCAGGAGGCAAAAGCAGGTGGACCTCCTTGCATGCAAGGCCAGCCTGGTCTACATAACAAATTCCAGACCAGCTAGAGTTCTGTCTACACAGTGAGACCCTGTCTCAAAAACAAAAAACAAACAACAAACAAAAACACAACAGACTCTGGCTAGTGTGTTGAGAGTTGAAGTAATCTAAGTGAGAGGAACTGGCAACTACCACCAGGGTGACAGTACTGGTGTGGTGAGAAGCAGACAGAGATACAACAGAATCCCTGATGGAGAGATATGAGCTGTGTGAGAACAGGAGTCAATAATGACTCCAAGGTGTCAGCCTGAGCAACTGAAGAATGGGGTTTGTCATCAACTGACTTGGGAAAGGCTGATAAGCAGTCTAAACAAAGATCAGGACTTTAATAGTACACGTATTAAATGTATGAATAAAATGTTGCTTAGATTCAAAGACTTCAATATCATTTGAAGTCATATTGACATAAATTAGTACTCAAGGGTTCGGCTCTTTCCTCATCTTGACCAACACAGAAAACACTCTCCAACACCCTCCCCAGACAGATACACAGAGTTCATGCTCGGACTTCTAAAGTACTGGAAATAGCAGCTCCTTGACTCTTTGCTCCAACATCTCTTACTGCTTCAACCCAAGATAAACGGCAAGCAAAACAATTCAAATTTCCCCAAAGCTGGCAGGCAAAGTAAACTCTTAGCAACATCATCCCATGCAAACCACTGTTCCATAATGAACCACAACTCACCATCACAAACATACACATATAAGACAAGTTTCATAAGCATAAAGCCACATCCCAAGAACAACTTTTAACAGCTAGGTTCTCATTTTCGTAAGTGATTTGATGCCTGCTGATATGGGAGTGTGGCTGAATGCCTTTTCCATAACCCTTGCATTTACAGACTTTCTTGATTCATCTTTGAAGAGAAAGTCAGCATGCCTCTCGACCTTACTGGGTTTTTTATGCCATTTGAGTTTCAACTTCAGCTGAAGGTTTCACATAGACTTGAGTTCATGTTACATAAGGTGTATGTCAAGTAGAATTGCTTTTGGTTTTCTTGATAGGTAACTGTGCTGTCAGGCTAGCCTTCAACGGTCTCAGAGAACATGTATCACCAAGGATTGGGAATGGGTTGGGAATGAAAGCATGTGTTACTATTCCTTGCTAACACATTAGCTGTATACAGTGTCTCACAAGTAGTTTATGCTTCCAATGCAGAGCAAAGCCTGACTTCTACTTCAAGGTTTTCTATGCAACTCCTTTTCACAGACTCCTTTAACTGTAGTTTACAGATGTGAAATGATGGTTCATTCTGTGACAAAACTTTCCTGTATTCTTTACAATCAGAGTTACTCACCCTACATGTATATTCAGATGTCAAATGAGGTTTAACAAAGCTTTCCTACATTCCTTAAATACACAGACATTTTCCATATGTATGAATTCTCTTATGAAAAGCAGCATTACAATACCATTCTTTCCCAAAATTCTTTGTAGGCATCTTGGGGCAGGAGAGATGGCTCAAAGGTTAAAGAAGCATATTGTTCTTGCCGAAGATCCTAACACCCACATCAGATGGTTCACAAACACCTGTAATTATTCCAGCTCCAGAAGATATGACGGCTTCTTCTGTCTCCTCAACAGGCACCTACAGTCATGCACACAAACACACACACAAGAGAGAAAGAGAGAGAGGGAGGGAGAGAGGGGGAGAGGGGGAGAGAGAGAGAGAGAATGTTAAAAAAGAAAAATGGCCAGATGTGGTTGCCCACGCCTTTAATCCCAGCACTCAAAAAGCAGAGTGATCCTTGTGAGCTTGAGGCCAGCTTGGTCTACACAATGAGCTCCATGCAGCCAGGGCCACATAGTGAGACCCTGTCTCAAAAACAAAACAAAACCTTCCCACATTTCTAATAGGAATCCCAGGTTAGGTAGCAAGTTTGGGAACCAAGAAGTTCAATCTGGTTAACTAGAAGCAAGCCACCTGCAAATACACACCCGAGTTCATTTTCTAGGTTAGTCAGAATGAAGCTTTAAAAATCTCTCACCCTCTGGTTCTAACATAAATAGTAGCTACCAAGGGTCACAAGGGACAAACACCCACCACCACTGCCTAGGGAATAAAGCCAGCTATACGGTTACTTCAGAACTTGAGGCTACAGCTATGATTGCTGGCAGAAAAGTCAAAACAGAAAGCAGGTACCCACAGCTCCTCTACAGTTTCAGAAATCCAGTTCTTTAAGGAACATCTAAAAGGAAAGGTCATTCAAACTGTTTTCCTAGAGAAAGGCTGAAAAAAAAAAAAATCACCATTTCCCCTATGACTCCCAATTTCAAAAAAACATCAAGATGAGCTGGAGAGGTGGCTCAGCACTTGCAGAGGACCCAGGTTCAATCCCCAGTACCCACAGCAGCTCACCACCAATACACATAAAAATTAAATTTAAAAAGGACATCCAAAGTTCTGAAAAGCTCTCGGAGGTGAGTGATAGCATGGGGTCCTGACACTTTTCAAAGCATTATCTTGCTTTGTGCCCCCAGATGTCACTCCTTTGAATCGCCCACATCCAGACTTCTGTTTCCCAGTTTTTAATCACTCTTTAAGCTTCAGCTGCTTCTCTGAGTCCTTTAATTAAGCAGAGCCTGATGATCTAGATCCTGCAAGATTCCTTGCCTTGCCACCAGAAGAAGGAGACTGTGCTTGTACAGGCTTGCAGGCACAAGGCCAGAAATAACGCTGGCCAGTCTATGTCAGTGCTTTCCTTTGAATTACACAAAATCACTGCTGCTCTTCACAATCTCTGAAGCACAGAAAGCTAGCTGATGTCTACCACGTCCACTCCAATGTCTGCTATGCTGTCCTCCAGCACCTCATGTGCACCTTAGAGTACAAGTACCCCACTTATTAGAAAAGAAGAAAACAAAACAAAAAATTCTGGCTAGCTTTTCTGTTCTGGCCATCATTTAAACTAGTCAATGAATTAAGCAGACTCTCACCTATGAGAAGAGGAAGATGTAAACATGGGGAGATAACAGCCAGCTTTGGACTTCTGCACTGTCCCTTCTTCCCAAGAACACAAACCAGGATAACGAGACCTCAAGTTGTGCAGCCTACCACCTAAGGAAAAAGGCAGCCGTGCCCCCCAGTACTTTAGGAAGAACAAAACCCCTGTGAACACACATACTCTCAGTGAGCAAAGTTAAATTTTCAGGGTCAGCCTCCTCCTGAAGCATGTTCTGAGAAGGTGCAAAGGACACTTGATGTTTGGGGCTGTTACTGTTTTCATTATGTTCAGTGTAACAAAGCAGCACTTAGGAAATCAGAAGGAAAAGCTCCAGTTAAAAAGCTCACAAGAGATCAAAATATCTCCATAAAATGCCAAACTAGAAAACACAGATACATACAGGCAAAAACTGTGGTCACCAAGGATTCAGAACAAAACCTATTTACAAAACGCACAGAAACAATAATAACTAGTGAAGTAAAATTATAGGATCACATAAGAGAACTGTCTTAATAAGGAATTTTCTTTAAAAAAAAAAAAAAAAAAAAAAAAAAACTCAACAAAATTAAGACACAGTAATTAAAGCCAGGGAGAAAAGCAAGCTACTGAAAATACTTCTCGTAAAATTGAACCAAAACCTCCAACCTGGGTGTGGAAAAAAGTGTGTTTGTGTATGTGTGTAGGCATACATACTCACACATCTATCAAAGCTACACAAAGAGCCCGGAACTAATTAATTATAAAAAGTATTATTGTTCTATGAGTACATCTTCCCAAGTAATGAAACAATAAAAACTTAAAATATGTGACCTATGAGATTTGAAATTAGCCAGTGGCACACACCTTTAATCCCAGCACTTAGGAGGTAAAAGCAGATGGATCTCTGTGAGTTCAAGACTAGCCTGCTCTACACAGTGAGTCCTTGGACAAAACTACATAGTGAGAGACTCAGCCAGAGTACATCGTGAGGTTCTGACTCAAAAAAAAAAAAAAAAAAAATCAATAAAATAAAATTCTAACAATCTAGTTTTTAACAATTATTCTGAAAGACTTCTAAATGTTCATGTTCCATTTAGTAAACATACATACTAAATTCAAGTTTTGGTTGGAGATAAAAGATATATGGTAGTGGCAATAAGTTAGATGACCCAGCCCTGATAATTCCAAATGCTAATATTCTACTAAGTTCAGAAGGGGAAAAACAAGGTGTACAAGGCACTTGAGGGGAAAAGCCTGTATCATCTTTTCTGGTGAAAAAGGACAGTTTTTTTGTATCCTACTTTCTCCGTTTTCCTCCAGAATGACACCTAGTGAAGATAAGAATCATTCCTCAGGCTACTACTGTCCATTACAAGAAGGGAATCTTCTCCAATATCTGACCTCTTGAAGGCATGCTGACAAACCACAGGGCCTAAGGTGCCTACACCACCTGAAGAAATACCATGTTCTTAATACAAAGCACTAACAGGTAAGAACATAGAACAGAAATAAATACAATGTGGAGATGAATAAACCAGGGAAATGAAACCTCTAAAATTAGCCTTGGTGTGGGTCTCACTGTCCAACCAACATATAAATCTGGTAATAATAAACGCTGATAAGTTATAAACAACAACAAAAGAGAGCTTTCTTGATTCACACTACACAAGTCATTGTAAATTAACTTGTACAACAAAGTACATATGAAAGTGATATTTATATTTAATTTTGATACAAGTTACTAAGAAATGAAACACCATAATTTTTTGCCTTATCTTCAAAACACTAAAATGGAATTTGTTCAACTGAGCTGCCAATCTGTTTTCAGTAGGGAAAACATGCTGCCTCTGTTTAACACAATGGACGAGAGCTCATCACTGCAAATCATTCTGTTTGGGTCCATCATGAAAACAGGAAACAGGCTGCCCAGGTATAATTACAGCTGTAGACTAATGTGCCTTCAGGTTCAGCCAGGAATTAAAGCCCAAGAAGAGAGTAAGCAGAATGTACTTGCCTCTCTTCCTTGCTACTGAAGGCAACTTTTAATAACACTCTCACAACATGTTACATAACCAACAGCACACAACAATCTGATTCAAACCTCATTAGCAACATTCTGCCGCTGTCTCACACTGCAATTAATGGCTGCCTTTGCCAGAGGGGAGAGAAAGGCCATACACCTATCTACTCATTTCTGTGGTGCCCACCTCAGTGAACCAGGTTAAGCACAGATCTGTACAGAACAGACAAAAACATTTTACTTTCCCCCAAGTCCATTGCTTTCTTCCTTCTTCCCACAGATGCATGGAAAACTTAATCTGAGTGTTTGGTGCCGTAGGGTGTGTGAGGCTCCAGTCAGCTAGAGAGCAAGCCAACCAACCAAAATAAACAACCAGGTGAGATGGCGCAGGCCTGTGAGCCCAGCATTTGGGAGGTAGGGTCATTCAGGACTACATAGCAAGTTTGAGGCCAACCTGGGCTACCTGCCTGGGGAAGGAAGGAGTGAAGTCAGTTGAGAAGATTCATCTATGACCTAACTAAAGTTACAAAATGCCGGGCGGTAGTGGCGCACGCCTTTAATCCCAGCACTCGGGAGGCAGAGCCAGGCGGATCTCTATGAGTTCGAGGCCAGCCTGGGCTACCAAGTGAGTTCTAGGAAAGGCGCAAAACTACACAGAGAAACCCTGTCTCGAAAAACAAACAAACAAACAAAAAAAACCCAAAATGATGAATAACATTTGCAACAAAGACACAGTAAATCTTGAGTGGTAAGTGGTGACCACCAGGATCATGTGTAAGTAATCATAAACAAAATGAAATGTCTTCACACAAGGCCTCACTATGTAGCCCCTGGCTGGCCTAGAACTCACACTGATCTACCAGCCTCTGCCTTCCAGTGCCTCCCAAGTACTGGGATGGATTAAAGGTGTGAGCCAGCATGCCTCGCTGCAAAAAAAAAAAAAAAAATCTGAGCAAAATATACAAACTTTATAAAGGTTGTATTTTGATAAATAGTTTCTTCTGAGTTGTATTAAATTCTTATCATTTCAGGGTTCATTTTAGAGGGAAAAAATGTTACCAAATGGGTAAAAGAAAGAATATAATTTGTTACTACTGACCCACTAACTCTTTCTTTATAAAATCTGAAACATAATCTCATGACAGAGCAGTTGAGTGTGAAACTGTCCTGTTTGCTCCAAACAACAGGCACTATGGGCTGGCATTTACCAGAAATTAATCTACTCTGAGTGTTACTAAACTTACTAGGTTTTCAACTTCAAGTTAAAATTAAAAGCTAACTGGCTGATGGTAACTCTCATACACTAAGGAGATCCAAGCACTCTTTGTTTAAAAAAAGAAAAACAGCCAGACTGGTGATGGCTCGCCACTGTAATCCCAGCACTTGGAAGGCTGAGGCAGGAGGATTGGCCAGAGTTCAAGATCTGCACTGAAAGACCCTGTCAGAAAGAAAAGAAAATCACGTGTACCCTTTTCTCTCAGCTCCTGTAAAGCCAACCAACCGAGTCCACTGATCCCAGTCTCTGTTGCTAGGTAGGAACACACTTGATAGCGCTAGGCAACAGCCATGATGTGACAAACTCCACCAGACTTCAAAACTTTTTCCACAGAAAGATAAACAAGATATACTTAGCACCACACCCAT